TCTCATTTTAAAATTCTATTATACATTTATGTCTTCTATTATGCAGCTAATGCTCAGAAATTCTCTAGATATTCAAGATATTTTATCAAAATCTTCTGTTAATCGCCTTTTTATATTACACAATATGGATACAGAGAAGGCATTTCTTGCTCCAAGCCTGAGATTATACTTCTTGTCCTTCAGATATACATCCAGTTTTTTTTTTTAATTTAAGATTTCTGCTTTATAAAGAAATAATTTCTTTATAGAAAGAAAAATAATAACTGATTTCTAAAGAGCTTTACTTTTTACAGGTTTGTTTTTCAAGATAACCTATTACACTACTATGGCATCTTTACAATATAAACATAAAATAAAACATTCTGATTTAGTGTAGACCATAGGATCTGAGTTACATTCTAGGATAATTTTCATTGATCTATCTGAATAGTATATTAAAGCTTTGCATTGTGCTGGTTGTTTGTATTTATTTATTTATTTATTTTTTTAGTATTCTTAGTATTCTGTCATATCTAGAGAGATAGTATACATTGATCTTGTTGATCTGGAATTGTGTCATGATAGTTGACTATAATGGTTATAGAAAACAATTCACATTGGCCTCTTTCCCTGTTATACTGCACAACTTTCTTGTACTTTGTGAGTAGGGTAAGTAAGTAGCAAAAATGATGAAATAAGCAGGAAGCTGTGCCAGATACTTGGACCATTTAAAAACATTTTAAAAACAACTATACGGAGAGGGAACATGACTCAAAATGGACTTCACTAGATGACTATAAAATTATTTTTCCCTTAGAAATCCTCATCTCAAAATCTGCATATGCTATTATATGTTTTTAAAGCTGAGTGTAACAAATAGTGGCTCTTGTTAACAATACTGTCAGTCAATATTAATTAGCTCTGTTTGTGGAGGGCCTATTTAACTGGACCTCTCCAAATGCTTGCAGTTTGGAATAGCAGCCACTGAATACGACAGACGAGTAATCTCTATCTGTCCAGGTAAATGACACATACAAAAAGTGAACTATTTTAAACGTATATTAGAAAATATAAGCTATTTATTAGAAATAGAACTATGACATATATTAAATCACTTCTTTTAAAGACAACCAAATTATTTACCTAAGAAAGGTTTGAATTTATAGGTTAGTGGTTCCTAACCATTTAAATGGCTTACTCTTTGGCAATCTTGTAAAACCTATAGCCACTGTTTTTGAATAATGTTTTAAAACATATAAAGTAAAGTAAGTAGGATTACAAAGGAAACTACTTATGTTGAAATAACAGACCCCAAGCTAAGAACCCCAGGTAGGCACTAAAATATTTTATGCCTCGCAAATGATTATCTATTATCTCAGTTGCTACTATTCAAAATTAATTATTTATAAGTTTTTATCTTAAAATTAAAATTCACTAAGAACTTAGGTGGAAGTTCTCAAGTTTTAGATCTCAATTCCTTAAAGAATCTCTTATGAGACTGGGTGTTACATATGAGACAGGCTTTGCTGCTTTCAGTTTTCTCAGCAATTATCTTAGTTCTTACCTAGTAAGACCTATTATTCTTACCCAATCATAGGAGCGGTAGCTATCTTGACCTTCCAATGTGTTATCAAAGTTTAAAATACTGTAGTTCTCCATTCCCCTTAATTGTGGTGGAGCATTTCATGAAATTTCTACCTTCTTCTGCTGTTCTTTTGATGTTTTACTTACTGACAGAGTTTTCATTTCACACTATGGAAATCATATAATTTATATTATTTATAATATAAGTAAAATTTAAAACTCATTATAGTGTTCAAACAGCTTTTTTACATAAGAGATGTAATTTTTAAAGGGATATTTCCTAAGTATTGATTTGTTGGCTTTATAAGTAACAATACCCTTTTAAGGACACAGAATATAGCAGCACATTTGAAATGATTCTCTGGATTTTGCTCACAATTATGTATTTCAATTATTAAAAATATACTGTCAAAGAAGTGAAAGTGTATATCCTAACCTTTCACTTTATACTTGGAAAAATTGCTTGATGGAATCAGAATAAATAAAAATTTGCATAAATAAATGAAATATTAGCCTACTTTTCTGTTTAGGTATTCATAGATATTCCACAAAGTTTTGTTACTACATATTATATAATGAAATAAGTTTATTATTAACTTAAGAAAATAGGAAGTCTGAAAATAATGTAAATATGAATACTCTGCCAAAAATGTGTTTTAAGGAATCTAAGATATGTATATCCCTTTGATTCTGGTTATCTATTGTGATGAAGATATACAGATATGTACACTAAGAAAATTTAGCAAGTTATTGAGTATATTTCTAAAGAGAGGTGTCTCTCATAAATAGTTTTTCAGGAACAAAAATAGAATTATTATTTTTTAAAGTATCAGGTTGTCTTTTTCCTCCCTCTTTGGCAAGTAATTGAATATTGTATATGCACTTGCATTTCATCTTAGCTTTTTTGACATATCCTGGATACACTACATAAAAATACTAAAATTATCTTAGGAAATCAATCATATTATGGTACATGGACTTAAAAATGTTTAAAAATTATTTAACTTATATGTTACCCTATGAATTTAAAATGTTAGATAATCACAAGGTATGTTGTAAAACAAACCCAATATTCACTTACTAAAGTCATCTAATCTAATGTCTACTGGTCCAAAATTGTATGCTGTATAATTAATTCCATATGGAGAATTGTGTCATTTCTTTCTTTATTTTTCTTGAATTGCTTACATTTTTTTTATTATTGAAAATAAGATTGAGAGAATTTACAGGTTAATTGGAAGTCCTTGATACAGTAGTCTGGAGGAAAGCTAATGCTTGCTTTTACTCTTTATAATATATAAGCATTTCCATTTCTGTGATTACAACTGCATGGGGAGGTAATAGTTTGTTCTGATATATACTTTTGAGTATGTATTACTTTGGTGTTCTAGAGTCAAAGCTAGTATTTTTAGGGTTGTCTCACAGATAATGAAGTGGGTGTTAGAAAACACTTATTGACCAAATGTTAGTTGTTAAAGCATGATGCTAGAACACAAGGATAAAAAAATGAATAATGATAGGTTACTTAAATTTAAGTATATTTCTTTCAACAAAGATTAGTATTCATATTGGTTTTTTTGTCGTCAAAAAGAGATATCACATTGTTTCAGAACCATTATTATTTCAACCAATTAATATCTCTTGGACCTGTATTGGTTGGTATCATTTTAAGTGCGCTGAGATAGATGGCATAGATGGCTGATTAAACAGCTTTATATATAGTGATTTTTCTGTGGACCATGTTTAAATATGGCTACCGGCTGCAAAGTAGCACTGTTTTCTTGTAACATTTGAATTCTTCTGTTTGATGTTCAGGGGTATCCGTATTCTATGATGGCATCGATGCCTTTTATATCTTGGTATAATAAACAGCCTTAGGGGTTTGAGAATAGTGCTTATATGGTTTTCTTCACTCTTTTGAAAATGTTAGGAAAAGTCATTGAATTCTTTTAAAATAGAATACTTCACATATTTCACATGTTCCAAAGGGAATTTGCTTTGGAAAGCAGGCAGTTTTGTTTGTCACGGATTATAACTGAGCAACTCCTATTATCTTTCCTGGGAATTGTGATAAAAGGCAGATTTGGGTTCCTTAAAAATTTTTAAAGTTTAATGACAATTTGCTCAGAATATGTTGGGGAAGATACATTTTTTTTTTACATACTCAATAATTTTAAACAATTACCTTTTTCAAAATCAGTTTGATGCATCATAACCAAATAGCACAAGGGCACTAAAGATCAACTGAGCTGCTTTTTGACTAACGTTTCAGGGTTTGTGAAGCAGCAGATAGACAGCCATATCACAGATCCAGATCAGCAGAACAACGGCCTCTCCCAGAGCGGACCACCACCCGCTCCAGATCCACTGAGCGTCCTGACACAAACCTCATGAGGTCGATGCCTTCATTAATGACGGGAAGATCTGCCCCTCCTTCACCTGCCTTATCGAGGTGAAAGATAAATCAATCAGACTAACTCCCCCTTTGCCCCCACCAGCACACCATTTTATTTTCCCAGCAGCTAAACAGTCTCTTCCATCATCCTTGGCTAATCACTAATAACAATCGATACTAACCTTTTCAGTGTAAGCACACTATTTATATTCGGCGGATATAATAGTGTGTGGCTACCATCGTAATTTGTTTATTAAGTGTCCTGACTGCATTTGTTTTGTGATTTCTCATTTATCAGGAGTCCTGGGTAAATCCCCACATAATACGCCTCATAACTATCATGTTCTTCTCCTACAGAATGAGAAATTGTTTGTGTTCATTAGACATCACTTTTGGACTAATCATCATAATGACTACATAAAACTAGATTTTTAGTTTCTTTCTATTAATACTAATATCATGTATTGACCAATATCTTCTTTAGCTGGATTTTGAATTGTTTGGGTTTTATTTGTAGTTTCATCAGACATTTTCTAATAAAGGGATATCTAATATAAGCCTGAGTAAAAATCTCTTTGGATCAAGGGAGAGAGGTTTGAGCTAAAAGTTTGAAATCTGGTAGAAAGAAATGTAAAGCATTACCTTTTATTTTTTGAGCTGCAGAATTTTCCTCTTGCTTTTATATCGGTGGAATATTTACATTTAATTCCATGGACTTTACTGTAGGGTTTTCTGTGCATGTATCTATGTATGTATGCATATTACACAACTATAAACATCTGTGCCTATTTAGATAGTTTTTCAAATATCCATATTGTGTCCCACTTTTTTAACCTTTTAATCAGCAGCTAAACCTCTTAAAATTGCATTTGTACAGCTATCATATGAACCAAATGTATTAAAAGTATTTAACTCATTTTATTGAAAATGAATATTAATGGTGTATCTTGTAGGTCTCATCCTCGTACTGGGTCTGTCCAAACAAGCCCATCAAGCACTCCAGTGGCAGGACGAAGGGGCCGACAACTTCCACAACTTCCACCAAAGGGAACATTGGAGAGAAGTAAGTTTTATTTCTAATCATGTCATATAGGAAATACACAAGGAAGCTAAGGTGAATCAAGATTTTTTTTACTATCTTTGCATTAGTTTTCTTATTTTGTTAATTGAATGCCTTAGCTGCATTTGCTAATAGTTAACTATTATATATTTTGCTTTTAAAATGTGTAATATTTGGAGGTAAAGTAACCTACTAGTATTGCTCTTGCACATTTTTCAAATTTGAACTAATGCATTTTAAAAAGTAAACTTAATGCTCTTAAATAAGCAGTTGGATGATATTTCTTTGCTATGACTAAGTTTATATAGTTGTTGATAGTTACATAAAGTTTATTAGTAACTAGCCAAATCAATTTTCACACACTGCAAAGGACTGGTTAGCTGATGCACAACAATGATGATCCTTCTCAAAACTGGAGTACCAGAAAAAGGTAATCATGAATATACAAAGAAAGATGCATGTTGTACTGATATTTTTTAATACTTTGAAACTTTTGCATACAAAGCATTATTTGCTGACACACAAATGAACATACTCCCCAAAGATCTATAAATTCTTGGATAAAAGACCTCTAAAAGCATGGGATGATAGAATATAATAATTTTTAGTCATTTTTTAAGTGGTCCCTTTATATCGTAACTGGATGTACTGTGCCAAAAAAGATTTTTTTTAAATCACCATTTAACTTTTCTTTAATAGATGATACATTCTGTGCCTTTGGAAATTTCTGTTGTTTTTAACCCCTGTGCTTTGGTTCCCTCTTTTGTTTTGTTTTTATTTTGTTTTTCCTAGACAATGGAGTCAAGGAGATAGAACCTTGTGAAGGTCTGTACATAAAGGAGGGTTTGTTTTGTGCTGACAGCCTTTGTGGGGGGCTCTGTAAGCAAAAATAAACCCAACTGCAATCGGTGTCCCTCCATTGTATAGGCTTTTATACACAGGAAATTATTTTGTTTTATGATTTCTCATAAAATATTCGACTACTGTTTTACTTGGAAATTATACCAAGGAGTTAAATTTCTTTGATTCAGTCAAGGAAAAGTATAAAGAGTTAACTTCTTTTAAATGGCAGGATGAGATTTCCTCTTTTTAAAAAATTTAATATGCCTTTTAAGCAGAATTCTATGTTTTGTGCAAGACTTTAACCAAAGATATCAATTGCAGTCTGTGTTTATGTCATTGAGGATGTACACCTAGTCTAGTTATAGTTATCATCATATATTTCATTTGTATTTATGATCTTTTAATTATTAAATTTAGCTTTCTAGACAAAAAAATTGTTGAATTAGGTAGTGATTGTGGTCTGTATTTTCTACTTCATTTTTCAAGACTGCTTACAGATATCAAAGATAAATACGTACAGATTTATTGTCATAGTATATTATGACTCAAGAGAAAATATTGAGTCATGATATATGGAAGTGGCATACATTTACTAGATCAATAAATATCCCTCTGCTAATTCTAGAATTCTGAAATCGACTTTGTAACTTTAAAGAATTGTTAACTGTTTTATTTACTGAGTAATCTCCAGCACATAGAATAATGCCTGGCACATTATAAGCCTTCAGTAAATATTTGTTGAATGAATGCATGAGATATTTATTTTAAAACTGAAAAGCTACTTTAAATCATGTATAAAGTACTACTAAAATAATCTTGTCATTCTACATATACTTATGTTAAAATTCATATTCTATAACCTATTTGTAACAAATTTTCAACTGCATTACATTTGGGCAGCAATACTTTTTTATTGCCTTATATAACTTGGAATGAGTTTTGTTTTTGTTAGTGGGTGAATGATTTACCCACTTCTATTTTGTGGTCCTTTCTAGTTACTATGTACCGTGATTTTAAAAAACTCAGTGCTATTGTGATTAATGGTCTGTTATGCTGCCTGATAAAAAGATTTCAGCAGCATTTCTACAATTATCAATTATTTGCATGAGAGGAGGGTATATAATTTTAAAAGTACTTTTCATTAGTAAAGTTTTTTAGTACGTATAGTATTTTTTATCTCTCAAAGTTAGAATTTGATTGTCATGTGTTGGCATATGAAGTCAGAAACATAGTTTATGTCAATATTTTAAAAATTCAATTTTAATATACTTTATAGCAATTATCTATTAAGATATGAGTAGCTCCATTCTTTGTAGTAATAAATTTACCAGGAAACTGACATAGAGCTGATACTGAAAGTCAGGGTTGAGTAAGTTTTTGATGGGCTTGTCAACAAACATATTATTTACTAATTTTTGCCTGATAGGATCTATTAAAATCACAGTTTCCCTTTAATGTCCCTTGTTGTGACTCTTCCATTTTTATGAATAAAAGAGAAGTGAGCCAAAACTTCCCTTATGCTTTTCAGTATGAAATAAAAGGATTTTTTGGGTTTTGTTTTGTTTTACTTAAACGTATGAATGATTAACAGTGTATTAATTTTTAATATGAAGACTTCAGTAGATAACATTCTTTAGCTTTAAAGTCAATATATAATAGATCTTTTAGAAGTTTTCAACTTCTAACTGAAGTTAAAGGTACTTAACCCAAAATAGACTATCAACTGATGGTCTGAATCAAATTATGTTTGAATTATTTCTAAGAAATTGTCATAATTGTCATAATTGAATGGCATTATTTTGGAGTAAAACTAATGACATGTTTATTTTCTAATCCTATTCAACAGTTAAAAATGTGCAAGTTCTAATTTAATTCCTTTTGATTTTGGTTATATTTCTGTCTATTAATTAAGTTAGTTTAAAACCTTATGTATGTTGGCCTTGACGGTGCTACAGCATTAGTCATCTACTGTTTGTCTGAGAACCAGAGAAAAGAGGAGCAATATAATGAAAGTATAATGTACTAAACAACTGTAAGGTATTATTAATTTTTTTTTGTTTTCCCCTAACTTTGATGTACTGGTGTTTTAAAAAAATAGATAGTAGTTTATAATGTTATTTTTGTTTCTCTAAAAGAAAAGTTCTATAATATTTTTATAGGAATATACCAAGTTTATAGACAAAATATTTTCTATTTTGCGTACGTTATACAGTTATCACATATTATAAACATTTTAGGGGGCACAATTTCTCTTTTACAAATCAGAGTCATTTTTAAAGGAGACAATGTGATCATTTATTACCAGTATACTTATTTGCTTCCATAACATGTCAGAAACTTGTTAAAAATATTGCTAGTCTTTTTATAATTACTCTATATCATGAATAATTTGAAATCTTTTGTTTTGTTTCACTTAAGAGCACAATTATACATATCTGGTCTTATCATTTTTTTACCTTTACTTGTGCAAATGCAGAAGTTAATGAAGAAACTGAGCATGTGGAAGAGGAGGGGGGAGAGCAGCAGGGTGAAGAGGTCAAGGCAGGTCTGTCTGACTGTGTCTAAAATAAATAATTGACTGTTTTAGAAGAATGGCTTTTCAATTTGACCTAAGACTTTGAGTTTAAATTGATAAATGTACAATAAAGAGCAGATTGTTTTTCAGTACTAATTTTAAAGTAAATTACCTACTTTTTAATGGAGAAATATTACATAAACTATCTAGGTAACATATCTGAATATTTCATTTATCCATTTGAACATTTTCCTTAGTGTTTAAATCAAACTAAAATTATAGACAATGCCTGTGACTACAATTTACAATGTATCTTTTACCCCATATTTACATTCAGTACATTTATTTATTAAAAAATGTTGATTTAGTACCGGCTAAAACACTGTACTTGATCATGCGTTACACTAAGTAAAGGTACATTGAAGTCTCAGCCTCTTCTTTCAAGAATTTTGGTTTTGTTAGGGGAAAATTACAAGTAAATATTGAGCAGGATATAAATTCTAAAATTTTAATTCTCAAAACTTAGAGGCTAGCATCATTTTTCCATATTTTTTTTTGAAAATAAGAACAATGAACTACAGGTTTTGTTTTTTCCTCCCAGCTCAATATTTCTTTAATATTTATTAACCATCATAATTTCTTCCCAAAGAGTTCTCCTTCTACATGGTTATAGAGACAACTTCATTTTGGTGTTTTTATGTCCCTATTACATTTACATATCATCATTTTTGCCACTTTCTGTATAAAAATGTTCCTGAAAGGATTTTAAAAGTTAAAATTTTATATAATCAGTGAATATATTTATATACTTCTTTTATCTAATTTTCAGTATTTTCGTTTGAAACTCAGAATTGAACCCTAATTTTATCTAAGCTGTTGGCTTTTAAAATTTCTTAAACTTCCTTGAACAGTGCAGGATAACTTTAGATCTAATTTTATCATGTTTGACTCATCATCATTTTTTATTCATGAGTAGTGGAGTGTACTTATGTGCCTTATAGTCTCTCCTCTACACTGTGTGAAAACAGTGACATTATGTAAGTGGTGCATGAGACAAATTTTCATGGATGCATTCTTTCAGTGTTGTTTGTAGTTTAAGGCAGAAAGACCTATTAAGTTGCAGTTGCTAATTATCAGTAACTATTTTTAATGTCATACAGATGAGAAAAATCATGAGAGTACATCTGATAATGAAAACAAAGGCAAGTTAAATGCATATTGATAGAAATATGTAACTATACTGTTCTGGATTTCTAGTATACTAACTACTAGAACGTCATATATTGGGTTGTCGGAAAAGTC